TACTGGTAGCTGAATTTCTATAGAAATTGGTAAGGATGCTTCAAATAACATTAATAAAGTCTCATCAAATGGGTACACACGTCAGACAAAATTCACCCGATTTAAGTGGGGAATGGGCTAAATTTCAGAAGATTGGATTGGACTTATTGACTACAATGTTTTTCTCCTTCCATCATTTAAAACATTACATGGTGCACAGGACTATGGATTTCTTTGCTGAGGGCACTGTGAATCCTTATGGAAGCCAAAAGTAGTACCTGCAACTTTTCTCTTGTTTTCTCTGCTACAGATATTCTTGTTAAAACCTTGAGCACCTATAGAGAAGACATTTATCTGAAGTTGGGGTGATCATGCGTTGAATATTTCACAGTGATAAGATTTGAACTAGAATCAGATCACTGGATCCAAGGATCAAGCGAACCAGCTTCCAGGTGAAAAGGCATAATATATATCCTCAGCTGCACACTCATTTGTAGAACTGAATTCTACGATTCTAGAATTGAAGCACTTGTCAGTCTACATTTACATTTTGGTTTTGAGCTTTCTGAGAGCTGACTAATATCTTCATACTAATGAGTTGGATTTAGAGTATATTTTGACTTAAACTTAGAGTAGACTTAGAATAAGTTTACTGTCTCTTTAAACATACACCAATCAACAAACATTAAAATGAAATTTCATTGCGTACAGCTCTCAAAGAGTCACCACCTTCAATATACACTACATAAACATGACAAAATAAATAAATGAATAAATAAATAAATACAAAATTAGGCATATACCCACATATAATATATGACACAGAGAAAGAACATAGTCTAGTTCAGATGTATAAATGTACGTGACAAGAAAAACAAATTTTGATAGTTTACCAGATGGATGGCATAGGGAACAAAGCTGTTACAGAATCTGGTGGTCCTGCTAGAAATATTTCAAAACCTCCTCCCAGAGGGGAGCAACAGAAACAGACTGTAAAGTGGGTAGGTGGAGTCTTTAACAATGCTTTGAGCTCTAAGCACATAGCACTTATAAGCAATATCCAGAATGACCGGAAGTGAGTTTCCTCTAATCTTCTCGGCTGTCCTCACCACTCTCTGTATGCATTTTCTGGGTGGTTCCACCACCAATCAGCTTTTTTCTTATTTTGCTCCCCAAAAACTAAGGTGCATCTTATACTCCGGTGCGTCTTATACTCCGAAAAATACAATGTGTTGGTTGTTCTTCTCTAAAAAAGCAATGAACTCAGAATCTTTTACTCTACCTCCCTGACAGAGGAGGGAAAGATAGAATCACTTCTTGATATGTTACAGGCTACTATGCCACAGTTTTTCTGACCTATCTCAAAGCACCCAAGAGGCCATCTTCCAAGCTATGCAAAGAACGTATTCCATGTCTGCTTTCAAAAATAATGGCTTTATACGGAAAAATGCAACTAGACATGGCCCAAGCAAACTTGTTTTGCTGAAAATAGCAGCTGCGGAAGGGCAAAGTTAGGAATATCATTCAGAAGAGGGTTGCATTGGCGGTTACCAAAGGGTTAACTCTTTTCTCCAAGCCAATGTCTAAAGTCACTCATTCTCAAAGCTGAGTTATAGGCAGCTGTTGGCAATAAACCAAGAACTGAGTCACAGAGTTCAAGCCAAGAGATGCTGAGAAAAAGCACAATCAAATTGGGAAAAACCATTTTGCTCACTAGCTTAAACAGCAGAGTTTTTATAGCCTTTCCTAACCAGGATGAACCCATTGCCAGCATGGATGGATGAGACCGGGCCAGAATCTGAGGACATTTCTAACCATTCCAAGCTGTAATTCCAGTAGTTGATATATAAGAAAGAGGAGACGGTGGTTACACCCCATGGTTATGAGCTTCTTCCTCTTCAGACCAGGTGGTACCAACCTGTACATGATCTCCCACATTAGAATTACTTTGTCCTTCCAATTCTCAGGCAGTGGGACTATCTCCATCACAGCTGCCTAAAGTCATAAAGGTCAATGCTTCTTCAATGTTATCATCTCTATATATAAAAGCGAAAACCACTCACGCATTAATCACGAAATCTCCAGAACCGTAAAGCCTACAAACTTGAAATTTGCCACGTATGTTCCTCTTGGCTTTTAGGTGCTCACTAAGAAAGGATTTTTCGAAATGACCATCAGAGCATTAGTATTTCCTATATTATTATAACACATTCTGATGCTAATTAGTTAGACCTTCTACTCCCCCTCCCAACTTGGAAATAACTCTGGAGAGAATGGAATAGCATAGGACAGGCTTCTGTGGGGCAAGCCTCATGGAGAGAGGGGGCTAGAAAGCCTGACAGAGAGAAGGGAATAGGAGAAGATCTATGGGGCCAGCCTGAGAGAGAGAAGGGGAGAGGAGAGGATCTATGGATCCAGCCTGAGGGAGAGAAAGGGATAGGAGAGGATCTATAGGGCCAGCCTGAGGGAGAGAAGGGGAGAGGAGAGGCTTCTGTGGGGCAGCTTGAGGGAGAGAAGGGGAGAGGAGAGGCCAATTGTAACTACTCATTAATTTTCAAACTCTAAGTGTCGATTTATCAAGCCCAATCACATAGTTTTGTAGCAGAGCACGGGTATTCAGCTAGTATATTATAAGATCACAATTGTGTACAGGTAGTCCTCAACTTATGACCACATTTGAGTCCAAAATTTCTGTTGCTAAGCGAAACATTTGTGATGTGAATTTTCCCCCCCCCATTTTACAACTTTTCTTGTCACAGTTGTTAAGTGAACCACTGCAGCTGTTAGTAACAGGGTTGTTAAGCGGATCTGTCTTCCCCCTTGACTTTGCTTGCTGGAAGATCACCAAAGGTGATCACATGATCCTGAAACCATCAGTTGCCAAGCATCTGAATTTTGATCATAGGATGCTGCAACGGTCATAAGTGTGAAAAATGGTCATAAGTCACTTTTTTTCAATGCCATTGTAACTTTGAACGGTCACTAAACGAACTGTTGTAAGTCAAGGACTACCTGTCATCTCTTTCCTAGCTCAATAATGACGATGCTTTCCTTTTTCAAAACCATCCCTTAAAGCATGATGCTCTTGCAGATAGACCAATGGAAAGCTGGTAGAATTGAGGATAATAAAAATTGGTTGTAGCTTCAAGGCATCCACCCTTTGGCCACCTCAGAACTAGATACATGAAGAACCACCACATTCTATCCCTGACAATTGTTTTCTTTGGAATAATTTCTAAAGCCATTTCTCTTTCATCAAATTAAATGAGAAGTGATGGAAAACAGAATTTCTTGCCTGACCCTAGAATTAATAGTCTTTCCATATCGTACCTATGAGATCACATGCTTGATAGGGAATTTCTTCCATAAAGAGCACTCCCAGATAAATACCAATGTCATCAAACACATCTCTCAGCCTAATTGTTATTTTTTTAACGGGCTTTATGCCTTAAAAAAATAAAAAGTTATAATAAAGTTAAAAAGATAGATTTTAATCAAGCCTACAGAGAAAGAACTTGATGTATCCCAACAACTACTCTTCTCTGTCTCAAATTGCAAAGGCGTTTGCGTAGAAATTCCTGGTAGGGTTTTTTTTTCCTGTATTGTTTTTATGACAGAAGAAGAAGAAGAAGAAGAAGAAGAAGAAGAAGAAGAAGAAGAAGAAGAAGAAGAAGAAGAAGAAGAAGAAGAAGAAGAAGAAGAAGAAGAAGAAGAAGAAGAAGAAGAAGAAGAAGAAGAAGAAGAAGAAAGAGAGTTTCTAGAAAATATTTTGCTCAAGAGTCCATCAAATATTTATTGAGCAAACGCTCCTTCTGCTGTGATTGAATGAGGAAAAGGAATACCTTTCTGCTCTCATTTAAACTGTCCATCTATTGCTTTTCCTTTTTTTTTCCTCCTCATCATGATCAGCCTAGACAAACTCAATGCTTTCTGCTCTGTTAAATTCTCTGAGCATGGCAAAAATGCTCCAATTTTTTTTTTAAAAAATCTACTTTCTTCTTTCTTTCTTTCTTTCTTTCTTTCTTTCTTTCTTTCTTTCTTTCTTTCTTTCTTTCTTTCTTTCTTCTCTCTGTCTGGAATGAAAACCTGCTTCACCCACATACAAACATGACTGTCCAAGACAATCATCCACGGACAGTTGGATTGGATTGGACTGTCCACCACCCACGGACAGTTTTTGTATGAACCAGAAAGTGTCCTTCATTAGAAATGTTTTGGCTGTTGGGGAGCAAGGGTAGACATTAAAAACAGATGGACTCTATTGTCAACAAAACTCCCCCCCCCCAACACCACCATCTCCCTTTCTAATGAAACACAGCCTGGACAGGACATTTATTCCAACAAGATATCAAATCCTTAATCTTAACCAAAATTTGCCCGATCTGGGTTTGTTGCTAGGTAGCTTTTCTTGGAAATTGACTTTGGCATCACAAATACACACACACACACCATTCTCTTGCCTTAAAAAAAACAACCTGAAAGGGAGAGGCACAGAGCTCAATTGCACACCTTTCGTGTCAAGGCTGAGCAGCAGGAATGGGGGGAAAAAAAACACAGGTGTTTTTTCAAAGGGGAAAAAGGGGAAGACTGAACTGCAACGCCAGATGTGCCATTGAAGGACCCATCGGTTGAATCAAATGCGACCACCTCTCTCTCTCTCTCTCTCTCTCTCTCTCTCTCTCTCTCTCTCTCTCTCACACACACACACACACACACACACACACACACACACGCAAAGGAGAGAAAGAGTGCCCTGTGCATGAGAAAAATCTGTCTGGGTGATTGCAGGCATGTCCGTACGAGAGATCCGTCGCTCTCCTGAGACAGAAGAACATGAACCAAAAGTGACTGGATTTTAACTCAGCAAAACCTCCATCCTCGCTGATTCCCCCTGAGGACGCCACATCAAAAACTCCTCTGCAAACAATCCTTGCTGGAATTTGCAAAAAAAAAAAAAAAAAAAGGAACAACGGCAAGGCACCCTGTCTTGCTTTCGATGAGAGCATTTTTTAAGCCCTTACCTCTGTAGCAAAGCCCAACTCTCTGGTCAGTGTTGGAAGGCAGCAGTGGCCGTCCAGATGAGCGCACTACTGTACAAGTGAGGCTCTCTGGCTGTGTCTAAACCCCACAAGCCCAATTCACGAAATTGCACTCTCTCCTTGGCCCCTCCCAAAAGTTAGTGCTAAGTGAATACATATCCCTGATGTTTAGAATTGGCAGCCAGTGGCCGGCATTGTCCTCAATTTATTCTAAAAAAGCAGCCAATGGCTTGGCTGCAGCCAAAGGTGGGGTCAGCCAGCCTAAGAGATGCCTGTCATTCTCCAGGCACATTCAGGAAGCTGCTCATAAAAAAAAAAAAAAAACAAGACCTAAAAACCTCTGAAAATTCATACAGGCTGCCAAAATTGTCTTGTTCCATGCACTTTTTTGGTTATCCTTCCCAGGGCCTCTGAAAGTAAATCCTCTGTCAAGAACAATCATAAGAAATGTTAATCTTGGGGAAAGAGGCTCTCTTCTTAAACACAATTGGAGGTGCTCAAAAAGAAAAATGAAATCCATTTAAAAACCTGGACAGGGAAAGAGGGAGGGAGAGAGGGAGGGAGGGAGAGAAAAAGAGAGAGGGAGGGAGGGAGGGAGAGAACAACGGATCCAGCTATTTACCGATACTTTCATTCTGGAGAGAATGCAGGGAATAACAACATCAGGCAAGCCATTTGCCACAAACAAAATAGAAACGACAGTATATATTTTGGAAATGAATACCAGATGTTTTAAAAGAATGTCCTTTATCATTCAGAATTGGCTGGGAACAAAAGGGGAGAGGAGGGTGCAAAAGATGGCAAAGGCGACTGAAAACATTCTGGGTAGGGAACAAGATTTTCTGTTTGCTTGTGCAACTTTAAAAAATTTTCTCCTCCCTCCCTCCCCCCCCAAAAACCTTCTTGGTTATTTCTTATGGCATGTTCACTTTTAGAAAACATATCCTTGATTTTAACTTTTTCACACATATTATTAGGACTATTATCTAATGATTAGGACTAATGATTAGGACTATCATCTATCTATCTATCTATCTATCTATCTATCTATCTATCTATCTATCTATCTATCTATTCATCTACAGAATAACAAAGTTAGAAGGGACCTTAGAGGCCTTCTATCCCACCCCTCCTCAAGCAGGAGACTCTCGACCATTTCAGACAAATCTCTCCAATCTCTTCTTTAAAACCTCCAGTGTTTCTTAAAAACCTCCACAACTTCCAGAGGCAAGCCATTCCACCGATTAATTGTTCTCGCTGATAGGAAGTGATCCTTAATTTCAGGTTGCTTCTCTCCTTGATTAGTTTCCATCCATTGTTTCTTGTCCTGCCCTCTGGTGCTTTGGAAAATAAGTTGACACCTTCCTCTTTGTGGCAGCCTCTCAAATACTGGAATACCACTATCATGTCACCCCTAGTCCTTCTTTCCTCTAGACTAACTAATTCTAGGTTGAATCTCTCTTAACGGATGTTCCACCCGTTATTTCTTGTCCTGCTATCAGATGATTTGGAAAATAGGTCAATTCTTTTTATTCCTTTTTATGCTCAGCTGAGCAAGGACCATAGACCAGGGTATTGGTATAAAGTTATGTGCCCCTTCCATCCTAAATATCTCGAACTACAGCCAGATAAAAGAAGATGCCGAAGGAGATGCCGAGGGAGAAAAGCATGCAGCTCTTCCACATGACTGAACTAAAGTGCTGTTAGCCAGTGCAGAATTTCCAGCCCCCTATTCTGCAGAACAGGGACTTTATGCATGCAAAATATGCTTTTTTCCAAAAAGGAACTGGACTTCCTTGTTTTTTTTCTATGAAAACAATTCACTTCTCATCCAAGAAACTTCTTCAGAACTTTAGGACCACAAGACCGGAAGAATGGTTTTCTGCTGCTTTTCTTTTTATTTTCTTGCCATCTAAGGCAAGAACCAGTGCTACCTTCTAGTGGTAGGGTTCTAATGTCAAGGAATGAACACTCCTTGAGCTTGGAGAATTGGTCGCAAAGGTCTGCCAGACTCAAAAAGCCTTACTTCCTCCATACAGAAGTGGTCTCTTGAAATCTTCTTCCCTCTACAATATGGGGAAGAAGACAGAGGAAGCAACTCTGCAACCCCTACAGTGAAGCTCAGGCCTGCTTTGCCATGGACATGCCAACAGCAGAGCTGAAACAAAGCTGTGGGCATCAGAAATGAGAGAAGGAGGGAATGGGGGAACCAGGGAAATGAGATCAAAAATCAAGAGGGGGGAAGAGGGAGAGAGATGGGAGAGGGAGGGAGGGGGGGAGAGACGGAGAGGTGAGAGAGAGGGAGAGGGAGGGAGGGAGAGAAGAGGGAGGAGGCAATCTGATTTGGGTTGGAGAGAATTCACACTGTGTGGACCAAACACACAAAAAGACACTGCCAGCGAAGCAAATGACACATATATAATAATTTTAATTTTAATACATTTTAAATTGATGTTTGTCTTGTGTTTTTAAATAGTCTGTACACTGCCCTGAGTCCTTCGGGAGAAGGGCGGTATAGAAATAAAATTATTATTATTATTATTATTATTATTATTATTATTATTATTATTATCATCATCATCATCATCATCATCATCATCATCATCATCATCATCATGCTATTTTTGAAAGCCAGAGATATATTAAGCAATGTAATAGACAATGCAATAGGCAATATGCAAATAGACAACATCTTCACAAAATTGATCAAGGGAGACATCAGGTTTTTGTTCTTTTTGTTGAGATAATCCAGGCGAAGTAATTTGCAACTGCCATCATACCTTTTGATTTTGGGGATGTATTCTCTGTTCATCTCATGTTTTCGCAGAAATGCAAGTGACTGCTAACCCTAAACCTTCCATGGTCATCATTCCTCAGCCACTCCACGAAGTGTTTGTTGCGGCTGAACCCTTTTCTAAGAGGTGTCCATAACATCTGAACAGATCTCGGTGTGATCATGGTTCACAGACACTCACCAGCATTTGGATGAAATGCATAGCTGCTAGAAACATAACTAGAGGCTTTACATTTGGCTGGAGAAAGAAAAACCTTGACACATAACTCTATTTCAGTTGGAAGCTTGACAGCTGTAGGTGAGTGAGGCTTTAACCCAATCTGTCGGTGTTTCCTCAATGAAATGCAAAAGTTGAAGGTAGGATCAGACTGCCAAGCCTGACAAACAATCATACGGAAAATGAATTATTCAGAAAGAAATTAAAATTAAAACAGCAAGTACAGGTAGTCCTTGATTTACGACCACAATGGAACCCAAAATTTCTGATGCTAAGCAAGCCAGTTAAGTGAATGTTGTCCCATTTTACAACCTTCCTGGCCAGAATTGTTAAGTGAATTACTGCAGTTGTTAAGTTAGTAACACGGTTGTTAAGTGAATCTGGTTTTCCCGTTGACTTTGCTAGTCAGAAGGTCGCAAAAGGTGGTCACATGACCCTGGGACACTGCAACCGTCATAAATATGAGTCGGTTGACAAGCATCTGCATTTTGATCGTGTGATCATGGGGATCCTACAATGGTCATAAGTGTGAAAAATAAATGTCACTGTTTTCAGTGTTGTTGTAACTTCGAATGGTCACCGAACAAACTATTGTAAATTAAGGATTATCTTTATCATCCAGCCAGTTTGATGACTTAGATATACTTAAATTAGATTGAAGCAAACCATAGTAATCCCATCTTTTCCCAGTCAATTACTACAGAAAGATTAACCCTGAATTGATCGATTGGTTGGTTGGTTGGAATCAAAGGCTAGAGAAGGTAGAAATTTTATATTTGAGAAATTTACATTGTGAGAGAGATATCTTTATTAAATTGGTTATTAAAAGTTGGCCCTATTCATTGAAGTGATAAAACTGAGTCTGTCTGAACTATTTCGAAGTCCAATGCTATTTCAAGAGTTGACAGAGGTATAATTTTGCAGCTGTTTTTTTTTTAAATATCCCTGCTGAAGTCTTCAGAGGAATAGAGGCAGGACCATCTTACTTTTAAAAAAAAACCCTTTTTTTTGGCCAGGAAATGTTGCTCAATTTAGATATTTATAAATTCCCTCCATAGTTAGACCGCTAAGCATCGGCAAAGGCTTGTTGGCCAAGGTCCTTCTTTCTGATATTTACTTACTAAGGCCAAGAGAATAATTTTCTTCAGTAAACTTCCATAATGTAATTTTTTTTTTCTCTTCTTTCCATGGGAAATCTAAAATTAGATGGTCCAGACAGGATTTTCTATTTTGCTTTGGTTTTTTTATGATTTTTCATTTTAAAAATCCCTTCTCTTCTCTACCTTATTCCAATTCCTCTGAACACTCTTAAAGTGTTGTCCCAAGCACTCAACAGTATACTTTAAGTCAGGGGCCTCCAAAATTCGCGACTTTAAGACTTGTGGACTTCAATTCCCAGAATTCCTCAGCCAGCTGGGAAATTCTGGGAGTTGAAGTCCACATAACTAAACCTAGCCAAGATTAAGAAACATGGGTCCAAATGAAGGCCTTTGTTCTTGTCTCTGTTAAATTTCATTTTGTTACCTCAAGTTTTTTTAATTTGATTTGATTCCTCTTTTTTCTTTGTTTCATTTAATTAGTTTTCTTTAAACACTGAGGAGAAGCCTTACATATCTTTGTTCTTCCCACCTCTCTCTAGGGTGCACAACTTTGGTGGGCTACTCTCAGTCTTTGAGTGTTGTATTGGGGTCACACACCAATACATTGGAGAAGACCAAGACAAGAAATGAATGGGTCAGGATCACAACTAAATTTGATTTAAAAAGAATTAAATCTGCATTAACAACACATCATGAGGTAGCAACTCAGTAATTGGCCGCTCTTGAAAGCTAAGTAGGGTTAGAGTTGGTTAATATTTGTAAGGGAGACTACTTGGGCTGAATCTAGAAGGTGAAGTCAAACAAAGAAACAAAAGATAATTGAAAAGAGCCTTCATCCTTTTCCCAAAGAATGACAGCGCTGTGTTCATGTATTCACTAAGCATCAAATTCCACTGAAAAGTCTTTCCTTATTTTTAATATGATTATTTTCTGCATTTATATCAGTGGTGAAATCCAATTTTTTTTACTACCGGTTCTGTGGGCATGGCTTGGTGGGCATGGCAGGGGAAGGATACTGCAAAATCTCCATTCCCACCCCACTCCAGGGGAAGGATACTGCAAAATCCCCACTCCCTCCCCACTCCTGGGGGAAGGATACTGCAAAATCCCCATTCCCTCTCCACTCCTGGGGGAGGGTTATTGCAAAATCCTCATTCCCACCCCACT